GTTAATGTAGCTTAAAATTTTATTAAAGCAAGACACTGAAAATGTCTAGATGGGCATTACTGCCCCATCAACACAAAGGTTTGGTCCTGGCCTTTCTATTAGTTTTTAGCAGACTTACACATGCAAGCATCCGCATCCCAGTGAGAATGCCCTCCAAATCATTAAAGACTAAAAGGAGCGGGCATCAAGCACACTACACTAGTAGCTCATAACGCCTTGCTTAGCCACACCCCCACGGGATACAGCAGTGACAAGAATTAGGCTATGAACGAAAGTTTGACCTAGCCATGCTAATTAGGGTTGGTAAACTTCGTGCCAGCCACCGCGGTCATACGATTGACCCGAATTAATAGACACCCGGCGTAAAGAGTGTCAAGGAACAATATAAAAATAAAGTCAAACCTTAATTAAGCTGTAAAAAGCCATAATTAAAATTAAGTTAAACTACGAAAGTAACTTTACCATAAACTGAGTACACGACAACTAAGACCCAAACTGGGATTAGATACCCCACTATGCTTAGTCGTAAACTTAAATAGTCCTAAAACAAGACTATTCGCCAGAGTACTATCGGCAACAGCCCAAAACTCAAAGGACTTGGCGGTGCTTCATATCCTTCTAGAGGAGCCTGTTCTGTAAACGATAAACCACGATTAACCTCACCAATCCTTGCTACTTCAGTCTATATACCGCCATCTTCAGCAAACCCTAAAAAAGGAACGAAAGTAAGCACAACTATTGCACATAAAAACGTTAGGTCAAGGTGTAACCTATGGATTGGGAAGAAATGGGCTACATTTTCTATAATAAGAACACCCCTTAAACTTACACGAAAGTTTTTATGAAACCTAAAAACTAAAGGAGGATTTAGCAGTAAATTAAGAATAGAATGCTTAATTGAATAAGGCCATGAAGCACGCACACACCGCCCGTCACCCTCCTCAAGTGCCATAGCAGAGCCCCAGATCACTAACCCATGCTAAGCAAGCGTACAAGAGGAGACAAGTCGTAACAAGGTAAGCATACCGGAAGGTGTGCTTGGATAAACAAGATGTAGCTTAAACAAAGCATCTAGTTTACACCTAGAAGATTCCACAACTCGTGTACATCTTGAACTATATCTAGCCCATATCCCTCCTCATCACTACTACTACAAACCAATCAAATAAAACATTTACCATATATCTAAAGTATAGGAGATAGAAATTTAATTATCAATGGCGCTATAGAGAAAGTACCGTAAGGGAAAGATGAAAGAATTATTAAAAGTAGAAAAAAGCAAAGTTTACCCCTTGTACCTTTTGCATAATGATTTAACTAGTGATAATTTAGCAAAGAGACCTTAAGTTAAATTACCCGAAACCAGACGAGCTACTTATGAGCAGTAACTAGAACAAACTCATCTATGTGGCAAAATAGTGAGAAGACTTGTAAGTAGAGGTGAAAAGCCTAACGAGCCTGGTGATAGCTGGTTGTCCAAGAAAGGAATTTCAGTTCAACATTAAACAATACTAAAAACCACACTAAGTTTCAACGTATGTTTAACTGTTAGTCTAAAAAGGTACAGCTTTTTAGAAATGGATACAACCTTTACTAGAGAGTAACATAAAACTTAAACCATAGTTGGCCTAAAAGCAGCCACCAATTAAGAAAGCGTTCAAGCTCAACAACAAAAACAAGTTTTAATTTCAACAATAAATAAAATAACTCCTAGCCTGACTATTGGACTAATCTATTCAATTATAGAAGAAATACTGTTAATATGAGTAACAAGAAAAATTTTCTCCTCGCACAAGCTTATATCAGTAACTGATAATACACTGATAGTTAACAGCTAATAAATATAACCCAACACTAAACTATTTATTAACCGTACTGTTAATCCAACACAGGCGTGCACTAAGGAAAGATTAAAAAGAGTAAAAGGAACTCGGCAAACACAAACCTCGCCTGTTTACCAAAAACATCACCTCTAGCATAACTAGTATTAGAGGCACTGCCTGCCCAGTGACAATCGTTAAACGGCCGCGGTATCTTGACCGTGCAAAGGTAGCATAATCACTTGTTCTCTAAATAAGGACTTGTATGAATGGCCACACGAAGGTTTTACTGTCTCTTACTCTTAATCAGTGAAATTGACCTCCCCGTGAAGAGGCGGGGATAACACAATAAGACGAGAAGACCCTATGGAGCTTTAATTAATCAACTCAAAAAGCATAAAACAATACCACCAAGGGATAACAAAGCCTTATATGAGTTGACAATTTCGGTTGGGGTGACCTCGGAGTATAAAAAACCCTCCGAGTGATTAAAACTTAGGCCTACCAGCCAAAGTATAGTATCACTTATTGATCCAAAATTTTGATCAACGGAACAAGTTACCCTAGGGATAACAGCGCAATCCTATTCTAGAGTCCATATCGACAATAGGGTTTACGACCTCGATGTTGGATCAGGACATCCTGATGGTGCAGCAGCTATCAAGGGTTCGTTTGTTCAACGATTAAAGTCCTACGTGATCTGAGTTCAGACCGGAGTAATCCAGGTCGGTTTCTATCTATTACGCATTTCTCCCAGTACGAAAGGACAAGAGAAATAAGGCCAACTTTAAAAAAGCGCCTTCAAACAATTAGTGACCCAATCTCAACCTAATAACTTAGCGCAAATATACCCTGCCCGAGATCAGGGCATTGTTGAAGTGGCAGAGTACGGCAATTGCATAAAACTTAAACTTTTATACCCAGAGGTTCAAATCCCCTCTTCAACAAATGTTTATAATTAACATTTTAACACTCATTCTTCCTATTCTTTTAGCTGTAGCATTTCTAACACTAGTAGAACGCAAAGTCTTAGGCTACATACAATTCCGAAAAGGACCAAACATCGTAGGCCCATATGGCCTACTACAACCCTTCGCCGATGCAATCAAACTATTCACCAAAGAACCCTTACGACCAGCCACATCCTCCACCACCATATTTATAATTGCACCCGTACTTGCACTAACCTTAGCTCTCACAATATGAGCTCCCCTACCCATACCACATCCACTCATCAACATAAATCTAGGTGTACTCTTCATACTAGCAATATCAAGCCTAGCTGTCTACTCCATCCTGTGATCCGGATGAGCTTCCAATTCAAAATACGCTCTAATCGGAGCCCTACGAGCAGTAGCACAAACAATCTCATACGAAGTAACATTAGCTATCATTCTATTATCTGTACTCCTAATAAACGGCTCCTTCACTCTATCTACACTAAACATTACACAAGAAAAACTATGACTACTCATCCCCTCATGACCACTAGCCATAATATGATTTATCTCCACCCTAGCAGAAACTAACCGAGCCCCCTTTGATCTTACAGAAGGAGAATCAGAACTCGTATCTGGCTTCAACGTAGAATACGCTGCTGGTCCTTTCGCCCTATTCTTTCTAGCAGAGTATGCCAACATTATCATAATAAATATATTCACAACTATCTTATTTCTAGGAGCATTCCACGATCCATATGCACCAGAATTATGCACAACAAACCTAATCGCTAAATCACTACTACTAACAATATCTTTCCTATGAATCCGAGCATCCTACCCCCGATTCCGATATGACCAACTAATACATCTCCTCTGAAAAAACTTCCTCCCACTAACACTAGCTCTCTGCATATGACACATCTCATTACCCATCATAACAGCAGGCATCCCACCCCAAACATAAAATAAGAAATATGTCTGACAAAAGAATTACTTTGATAGAGTAAATAATAGAGGTTTAAGTCCTCTTATTTCTAGAATAATAGGAATCGAACCTACCCTTAAGAATTCAAAATTCTCCGTGCTACCACACTACACCATAATCTATAGTAAGGTCAGCTAAATAAGCTACCGGGCCCATACCCCGGAAATGTTGGTTCATATCCTTCCCATACTAATTAACCCATTCATCTCCATCACCCTACTAACAACTCTCGTCCTAAGCACAACAATTGTTACCATTAGCTCCCACTGATTATTTGCCTGAATCGGACTAGAAATAAACATAATAGCCATCATTCCCATTATAATGAAAAAACCTAACCCCCGAGCCACAGAAGCCTCAGCCAAATACTTTTTAACACAAGCCACAGCATCCTCATTACTCATACTAGCAATTATTATCAACCTAATACACTCCAGCCAATGGACTATCATAAAATTATTCGACCCAACAGCATCTATTCTAATAACAATAGCCCTAGCCATTAAATTAGGACTATCCCCTTTCCACTTCTGGGTACCAGAAGTTACACAAGGCATTCCCCTAAGCACAGGACTAATCCTACTTACGTGACAAAAACTCGCACCCATATCAATCCTCTACCAAATTTCACCATCAATTAACCTACACTTAATAATTACCATATCCTTTCTATCAATCCTAATCGGAGGTTGAGGTGGACTGAACCAAACACAACTCCGAAAAATTATAGCCTACTCATCAATCGCCCACATAGGATGAATAACCACTATTTTACTGTACAGTCCAACCCTCACCATACTAAACCTATTAATCTACATTGTAATAACCTTCACTATGTTTATATTACTCATCCAAAACTCCACTACCACTACACTACTATTATCCCAAACATGAAACACAATACCTATTATGGCAACCTTCACCATACTCACCCTACTCTCCATAGGAGGACTTCCTCCCCTTACAGGCTTTATGCCTAAATGAATAATCATTCAAGAATTAACAAAAAATGACACCCTCATCCTACCCATCCTCATAGCCATCACAGCTCTACTCAACCTATATTTCTACATACGCCTTACCTACTCCACAGCATTAACCCTATTCCCCTCCACCAATAACATAAAAATAAAATGACAGTTCTACCCCACAAAACAAATAACCCTCCTACCAACAGCAATCGTACTATCCACAATACTTCTACCACTCACACCAACACTCTTTATTTTACTATAGGGGTTTAGGTTAAGCAAGACCAAGAGCCTTCAAAGCCCTAAGCAAGTACAATTTTACTTAACCCCTGCCCAATAAGGATTGCAAGATTATATCTTACATCAATTGAATGCAAATCAAACACTTTAATTAAGCTAAATCCTCACTAGATTGGAGGGATACATCTCCCACGAACTTTTAGTTAACAGCTAAATACCCTAGTAAACTGGCTTCAATCTACTTCTCCCGCCGCGAGAAAAAAAAGGCGGGAGAAGTCCCGGCAGGATTGAAGCTGCTTCTTTGAATTTGCAATTCAAAATGATTATTCACTACAGGACTTGGTAAAAAGGGGACTCTACCCCTGTCTTTAGATTTACAGTCTAATGCCTACTCGACCATTTTACCTATGTTCATAAACCGATGACTATTCTCTACCAATCACAAAGACATTGGTACCCTGTATTTACTATTTGGCGCTTGAGCAGGAATAGTGGGTACTGGCCTAAGCTTGTTGATTCGTGCTGAATTAGGTCAACCTGGCACACTTATCGGAGACGATCAACTTTATAATGTTCTAGTAACAGCTCACGCCTTCGTAATAATTTTCTTTATGGTTATACCTATCATAATTGGGGGTTTCGGAAACTGATTAGTTCCTTTAATAATCGGAGCCCCCGACATAGCATTCCCTCGTCTAAACAACATAAGCTTCTGACTACTCCCCCCTTCCTTCCTACTACTGATAGCATCTTCGATAATTGAAGCCGGCGCAGGTACAGGCTGAACTGTATATCCTCCTCTAGCCGGAAATCTAGCACATGCAGGAGCCTCAGTAGACCTTACTATTTTCTCTCTACATTTAGCCGGTGTATCTTCAATCCTTGGGGCTATTAACTTCATTACAACTATCATTAATATAAAACCCCCCGCTATAACCCAATATCAAACGCCTCTCTTCGTCTGATCGGTCTTGGTCACAGCAGTCTTACTTGTACTATCATTGCCTGTCTTAGCAGCCGGAATTACCATACTATTAACTGATCGAAATCTAAACACAACCTTTTTCGACCCGGCAGGAGGAGGTGACCCAATCTTATATCAACACTTGTTCTGATTTTTTGGCCATCCTGAAGTATATATTCTAATTTTACCTGGCTTTGGAATAATTTCACATATCGTTACTTATTATTCGGGGAAAAAAGAACCTTTCGGGTATATGGGAATAGTATGAGCTATAGTTTCTATTGGTTTCTTGGGTTTCATTGTATGAGCCCATCATATGTTTACAGTTGGAATAGACGTAGATACACGAGCATATTTTACATCAGCTACCATAATTATCGCAATTCCTACAGGAGTAAAAGTTTTCAGTTGACTGGCAACACTTCACGGAGGAAATATTAAATGATCTCCAGCCCTAATATGAGCTCTAGGCTTTATTTTCTTATTCACAGTAGGGGGTTTAACCGGTATTATCCTAGCTAACTCATCCCTAGATATCATTCTCCATGACACCTATTATGTGGTTGCTCACTTTCACTATGTACTTTCAATAGGAGCTGTCTTTGCCATCATAGGAGGCTTCGTCCACTGATTTCCACTTTTTTCAGGATATACACTCAACCCAACATGAACAAAAATCCAATTCATAATTATATTCGTAGGCGTAAATATGACATTCTTCCCACAACACTTCCTAGGCCTATCTGGAATACCTCGCCGATATTCCGACTATCCAGATGCTTACACAACATGAAACACCATCTCATCAATAGGCTCATTTATCTCACTAACAGCAGTCATACTAATAATCTTCATTATCTGAGAAGCATTCGCATCTAAACGAGAAGTCTTAGCAGTAGACCTCACTTCCACAAACCTTGAATGACTAAACGGATGTCCTCCACCATACCACACATTCGAAGAACCAGTATACGTTAACCTAAAGTATTCAAGAAAGGAAGGAATCGAACCCCCTCTAATCGGTTTCAAGCCAACATCATAACCATTATGTCTTTCTTTATGAGCGAGATATTAGTAAAATCTTACGTAACTTTGTCAAAGTTAAATCACAAGTGAAAATCCTGTATATCTCCATGGCATATCCCTTTCAACTAGGCTTACAAGACGCAGCATCACCTGTTATAGAAGAACTTCTACAATTTCATGACCACGCATTAATGATCGTCTTCTTAATTAGCTCCTTAGTTCTTTATATCATTACACTAATACTTACAACCAAATTAACTCACACTAATACAATAGACGCCCAAGAAGTAGAGACTATTTGAACTGTCCTCCCAGCCGTTATTTTAATCATAATCGCCTTACCTTCCCTACGAATTCTCTACATAATAGACGAAATTAATAACCCCTCTCTTACCGTAAAAACAATAGGACACCAATGATACTGAAGTTATGAATATACTGACTATGAAGACCTAAACTTTGACTCATACATAATTCCAACCTCAGATCTAAAACCAGGTGAACTACGATTATTAGAAGTAGATAATCGAATGGTTCTACCTATACAAATGACAATCCGAATATTAGTCTCCTCAGAAGATGTATTACACTCATGAGCTGTCCCTTCCCTAGGCCTAAAAACAGACGCGATCCCTGGCCGCCTAAACCAAACAACCCTAATATCAACTCGACCTGGCCTATTCTATGGACAATGTTCAGAAATTTGTGGCTCAAATCACAGCTTTATACCAATCGTTCTCGAACTAGTACCCTTAGAGAATTTTGAAAAATGATCTGTATCCATATTATAATTTCACTAAGAAGCTAAACTAGCATTAACCTTTTAAGTTAAAGATTGAGAGTTATAAACTCCCCTTAGTGACATGCCACAACTAGATACATCAACATGGCTCCTTACCATTCTCTCTATGATCTTCACCCTATTCGCACTACTCCAACTAAAAATTTCAAAACACTTCTACTCTCCCTCCCCCAAACCAATGGATACTAAGCTACAAAAACAACAAACCCCTTGAAATTACACATGAACGAAAATCTATTTGCCTCTTTCATAATCCCAGTTGTACTAGGTATCCCTATTACCACTCTAATTATTATATTCCCCACTATACTATTCCCAACACCAAGCCAATTAATTAATAACCGTGTAATCACTATTCAACAATGACTCACCAAACTCACATCAAAGCAACTGATAATTACACATAACCCCAAAGGACAGACCTGATCTCTAATACTCATTTCACTTTTCCTCTTCATCGCCTCCACAAACCTTCTTGGAATATTACCTCACTCATTCACACCTACTACTCAACTCTCTATAAACTTAGGCATAGCTATTCCACTATGAGCTGGCACCGTCTTTATCGGCTTCCGTAACAAGACAAAAATATCTCTAGCCCACCTTTTACCATTAGGCACACCCACTTTCCTAATTCCCATACTAGTAATAATTGAAACCATCAGCCTGTTTATTCAACCATTAGCCCTAGCAGTACGGCTAACAGCGAACATCACAGCAGGTCACCTATTACTACACCTAATTGGAAGTGCAACTCTTGCATTAACAAACATTAGCCTATCCACAGCCCTCATCACATTTACTATCCTCACTCTATTAGTTATCCTTGAATTCGCTGTAGCCCTAATTCAGGCCTACGTATTCACCCTACTAGTAAGCCTGTACTTGCAAGACAATACATAATGACCCACCAAACCCACTCATATCATATAGTAAACCCCAGTCCTTGACCACTTACAGGAGCTCTCTCAGCATTTCTCATAACATCAGGCCTAATCATATGATTCCATTTCAACTCAATAATTTTACTAACTTTAAGTTTTCTAACAAATATCCTAACAATATACCAATGGTGGCGAGACATCATCCGAGAAAGTACTTTCCAAGGCCACCACACACCAACCGTTCAAAAAGGACTTCGATATGGTATAATCCTATTTATCTTATCAGAAGTCCTATTTTTTACAGGCTTCTTCTGAGCCTTTTATCACTCAAGCCTTGCCCCTACTCCCGAACTAGGAGGCTCCTGACCACCAACAGGTATCCACCCCTTAAACCCACTAGAAGTCCCACTCCTCAATACTTCCGTACTACTAGCTTCTGGTGTATCTATCACTTGAGCCCACCATAGTCTCATAGAAGGTAACCGCAAACACATACTCCAAGCTCTCCTTATTACAATTATACTCGGCCTCTATTTCACCCTACTCCAAGCATCAGAATATTATGAAGCCCCATTCACAATCTCAGACGGAGTCTACGGCTCTACTTTCTTCGTAGCCACAGGCTTTCATGGATTACATGTCATCATTGGATCCACTTTCCTTATCGTCTGCTTCATACGCCAAATAATATTCCACTTCACCTCAAACCACCACTTTGGCTTCGAAGCCGCTGCTTGATATTGACATTTCGTAGACGTCGTATGATTATTCCTCTATGTATCAATCTATTGATGAGGCTCATAGTCCTTTTAGTATTAATAAGTACAACTGACTTCCAATCAGTTAGTTTCGGTATCACTCCGAAAAAGAACAATAAACCTTCTATTAACGCTACTAACAAATACAACCCTAGCCCTACTACTCATACTTATTGCTTTTTGACTCCCCCAACTAAACGTCTATGCAGAAAAAACTAGCCCTTACGAATGTGGCTTCGACCCCATAGGATCTGCCCGCCTACCCTTTTCCATAAAATTTTTCCTAGTAGCAATTACCTTCCTCCTATTTGACCTAGAAATTGCTCTCCTACTCCCCCTACCTTGAGCAATCCAAACAAACAATTTAACAACAATACTTCTTATAGCCTTATTTCTAATCTCTCTACTAGCAGCTAGCCTAGCCTACGAATGAACCCAAAAAGGCCTAGAATGAGATAAATATGGTACTTAGTTTAAAGTAAAACAAGTGATTTCGACCCACTAAACTGTGACCTAAACTCACAAGTACCAAATGTCTCTAGTCCACATTAATATTCTAATCGCCTTTACAGTATCCCTCACAGGCTTATTAATATACCGATCTCACCTAATATCTGCACTACTATGTCTAGAAGGCATAGTACTATCATTATTCATCCTAGCAGCCCTCACAATCCTAAACACACACTTCACCCTAGCCAACATAATACCAATCATTCTCTTAGTATTTGCAGCCTGCGAAGCAGCTATCGGACTAGCCTTGTTAGTCATAGTCTCCAACACATATGGTACTGACTATGTACAAAACCTTAACCTCCTTCAATGCTAAAATTTATTATTCCTACTGTTATACTTATACCTCTGACTTGATTATCAAAAAGTAATTTTATCTGAATTAACACCACAACCCATAGTTTATTAATTAGCTTTACAAGTTTACTTCTACTTAATCAATTTAACGATAATAGCCTTAACTACTCTTTAACATTCTTCTCTGACCCCCTTTCCGCACCACTCTTAATACTAACAATATGACTCCTCCCCCTAATATTAATAGCAAGTCAATCCCACCTTCTAAAAGAACCACTTGCCCGAAAAAAACTCTACATTACAATACTAATTATACTACAAACCCTCTTAATTATAACCTTTACTGCCATAGAACTAATTATATTTTACATTATATTTGAAGCCACATTAATTCCTACTCTCATTATCATCACCCGTTGAGGCAACCAAACAGAACGACTTAACGCAGGACTTTATTTTTTATTTTACACACTCATGGGATCACTCCCTCTACTAGTAGCATTAACATATCTACAAAATACAGTAGGCTCCCTAAACTTCCTACTATTACAGTACTGAGCTCAACCATTATCAACCTCCTGATCTAACACTTTCATATGACTAGCTTGCATAATAGCCTTCCTAGTAAAAATACCCCTTTATGGATTACATCTTTGATTACCCAAAGCACACGTAGAAGCCCCCATTGCAGGCTCAATAGTTCTTGCAGCTGTACTACTAAAACTAGGAGGCTATGGAATACTACGAATTACATCAATTCTTAACCCCCTAACAGAACATATAGCCTACCCCTTCCTTGTATTGTCCCTATGAGGAATAATCATAACCAGCTCTATCTGCCTACGTCAAACAGATCTAAAATCACTAATCGCATATTCCTCAGTCAGCCACATAGCACTCGTCATTGCAGCCGTCCTTATCCAAACCCCTTCAAGTTACATAGGAGCTACCGCCCTAATAATTGCACACGGCCTCACATCCTCTATACTATTTTGTCTAGCAAACTCAAACTACGAACGAATTCATAGCCGAACCATAATCCTAGCACGGGGCCTACAAATCTTTTTTCCACTAATGGCCACTTGATGATTATTAGCATGCTTAACAAACCTTGCCCTACCCCCTACCATTAATCTGATCGGAGAACTACTCGTAATTATATCAACCTTCTCATGATCAAACCTTACTATCATCCTTATAGGAGTAAACATCGTAATCACAGCCCTCTACTCCCTATACATACTAATCATAACACAACGTGGCAAACACACACACCATATCAATAACCTCACCCCTACTTTTACACGAGAACATGCCTTAATAGCCCTACATATTATCCCCCTCCTACTCCTGTCACTAAACCCTAAAATCATCCTAGGACCTCTTTATTGTAAGTATAGTTTAAAAAAACCATTAGTTTGTGAAACTAAAAACAGAAGATAAAACCTTCTTACTTACCGAAAAAGAATTGCAAGAACTGCTAATTCATGCACCCCACACTTAACAATGTGGCTTTTTCAAACTTTTAAAGGATAGTAGTTATCCATTGGTCTTAGGAACCAAAAAATTGGTGCAACTCCAAATAAAAGTAATAAACTTATTTACTTCTTCCACCCTACTTACACTATTTATACTAATTACCCCCGTTATAGCATCTAGCACAGACTTTTACAAAAACAATAAATACCAACACTATGTAAAAAACATAATCCTCTTTGCTTTCATCACCAGCCTGATCCCAATAATAATATTTATTCACACAAACCAAGAAATACTCATCTCGAACTGACACTGAATCACCATCCATACTCTTAAATTAACGCTCAGCTTTAAAATAGACTACTTCTCACTTATATTTATACCCGTAGCACTATTCATTACATGATCTATTATAGAATTTTCAATATGATATATACACTCCGACCCCTACATCAACCAATTCTTCAAATACCTACTCATTTTCCTCATCACTATACTCATCCTTGTCACAGCTAACAACCTCTTCCAATTATTTATTGGCTGAGAAGGAGTAGGAATCATATCTTTCCTACTGATTGGCTGATGGTTCGGACGAACAGATGCTAATACAGCCGCTCTTCAAGCAATTCTATATAACCGTATCGGAGATATTGGATTCCTCTTATCCATAGCCTGATTCCTACATAATTCAAATGCATGAGATTTACAACAAATCTTCACACTTAACCAAAATCCCCCAATCCTCCCCCTCATAGGACTTACATTAGCCGCAGCTGGAAAATCAGCTCAATTTGGCCTACACCCATGACTACCTTCAGCAATAGAAGGCCCCACTCCAGTCTCAGCCCTACTCCACTCAAGCACAATAGTTGTAGCAGGAATTTTCTTACTTATCCGTTTTTACCCTCTAACAGAAAATAACAAATTTATCCAAACAACAATACTTTCTCTAGGTGCCCTCACCACCCTATTCACAGCTATCTGTGCCTTAACCCAAAACGATATCAAAAAAATCATTGCTTTTTCTACCTCCAGCCAACTCGGCCTAATAATAGTAACACTAGGCCTCAACCAACCACACCTAGCATTCCTACATATTTGTACACACGCTTTCTTCAAAGCTATACTATTCCTGTGTTCCGGCTCTATCATCCATAATTTAAATAACGAACAAGACATCCGAAAAATAGGAGGATTATACAAAATTCTTCCCTTCACTACAACTGCCCTAATCATCGGCTGCTTTGCACTAACAGGAATACCATTTCTCACAGGATTCTATTCTAAAGACCTCATCATTGAAGCCGCCACTTCGTCTTATACCAACGCCTGAGCCCTATTATTAACACTAATCGCCACCTCCATAACAGCTATTTATAGCACCCGCATCATTTTCTTTACTTTACTAGGACAACCTCGCTTCCCTCCCCTCATAAACATTGATGAAACTAACCCCATACTGATTAACCCCATTAAACGCCTATTAATCGGAAGCATCTTCGCCGGATTCATCCTCTCCAACAGCATACCCCCAATAAACATTCCTCTAATGACTATACCCCTATATCTAAAACTAACAGCCCTCATAGTAACAATTCTAGGCTTTACTCTCGCATTCGAAATTAATACCTACTCAAAAAACCTAAAATACCCCTACTCATCAAACTCCACTAAATTTTCCACCCTACTAGGATATTTCCCTACAATTATACACCGCTTACTTCCCCATCTAACTCTAACAACAAGCCAGAAATTTGCAACCTCTTTATTAGACCTAACCTGAACAGAAACAATTCTACCAAAAACAACAGCTCTCATTCAACTAAAAGCCTCTACACTAACTTCAAACCAAAAAGGACTCATCAAACTCTACTTCCTGTCTTTCCTTATCACTATAACCCTCAGCATTCTACTATTTAATTACCCCGAGTAATCTCCATAATAACCACTACACCAATAAACAAAGACCATCCAGTAACAATAACCAACCAAGTACCATAACTGTATAACGCAGCAATCCCCATAGCCTCTTCACTAAAAAACCCGGAATCCCCTGTATCATAAATAACTCAATCCCCTAACCCATTAAACTCAAATACAATATTTACTTTCCCACCCTCTAAAACATACAATACCACTAACAACTCTAACACTAGACCTAAAAGAAATCCCCCAAGTACAACTTTGTTAGAAACCCAAACCTCAGGATACTGCTCAGTAGCCATAGCCGTTGTATAACCAAACACAACTAGTATTCCCCCTAAATAAATTAAAAATACCATTAAACCTAAAAATGAACCCCCAAAACTATAAACAATTCCACATCCTATAGCACCACCCACAATCAACCCTAAACCACCATAAATTGGTGAAGGCTTTGAAGAAACCCCCACAAGACTAATTACAAAAATAGTACTCATAATAAAAACAATATACATTGCCATTATTCTCACATGGACTCCAACCATGACCAATGACATGAAAAATCATCGTTGTAATTCAACTACAAGAACCCTAATGACCAACATCCGAAAAACACACCCACTAATAAAAATCCTCAATGACGCGTTCATCGACCTACCCACTCCATCTAACATCTCCTCATGATGAAACTTTGGCTCCTTACTAGGTCTCTGCCTAATCATACAAATCCTAACAGGTTTATTTCTAGCAATACACTACACACCAGACACCTCAACTGCTTTTTCATCAGTCGCACACATCTGTCGAGACGTCAACTATGGCTGATTCATCCGCTATCTACATGCAAATGGAGCCTCCATATTCTTCATCTGCCTTTACGCCCACATCGGACGTGGCCTATACTATGGCTCCTATATATTCCAAGAAACATGAAACATCGGCGTACTCCTACTACTAACAGTCATAGCCACTGCATTCGTAGGCTACGTTCTACCCTGAGGACAGTTATCATTCTGAGGTGCAACAGTCATCACCAACCTCCTATCAGCAATCCCCTACATCGGTACTACCTTAGTAGAATGAATCTGAGGCGGATTTTCCGTAGACAAAGCAACACTAACACGCTTTTTCGCTTTCCACTTTATCCTCCCATTCATCATCACAGCATTAGCAGCCGTCCACCTACTATTCCTACACGAAACAGGATCCAACAACCCCACAGGAATCCCATCCAACATAGACATAATCCCATTCCACCCTTATTACACAATTAAAGACATCCTAGGCGCTTTATTCCTAATTCTAATCCTACTAGCACTAACCCTATTCACCCCTGACCTACTAGGAGACCCTGATAACTATACCCCAGCAAATCCATTAAGCACCCCCGCAGACATCAAACCAGAATGGTACTTCCTATTCGCATATGCAATCCTACGATCAATTCCTAATAAACTTGGAGGAGTATTAGCACTACTACTCTCTATCCTTATCCTAGTCTTTATTCCAATACTTCAGACATCCAAACAACGAAGCATAATATTCCGACCCTTTAGCCAACTCTTATTTTGAACCCTAATCGCAGACCTCCTAACCCTAACATGAATTGGAGGCCAACCTGTAGAACACCCGTACATCATTGTAGGCCAATTAGCATCTATTTTATACTTCTTCCTAATCTTAGTGCTAATACCAACAGTTAGCCTTATTGAAAATAAACTCTTAAAATGAAGAGTCTTTGTAGTATAACAAAATACCCCGGTCTTGTAAACCGGAAAAGGAGAACCCCATTCCTCCCTAAGACTCAAGGAAGAGACATTAAACCTCACCACCAACACCCAAAGCTGGAATTCTACATAAACTATTCCTTGAAAAAAGCTTATTGTACAATCACCACAACCTCACAGTGCTACGTCAGTATTAAAAGTGATTTATTTTAAAAACATTTTACTGTACATATTACATACATATATGCACATACATACCTAATACTTAGTCTCTCCTTGTAAATATCCATATATACATGCTATGTATTATTGTACATTCATTTATTTTCCATACGGTAAGTTAAAGCTCGTATTAATTATCATTAATTTTACATATTACATAATATGTATGCTCTTACATATTATATGTCCCCTAACAATTTTATCTCCATTGTATTCTATGGTCGTTCCATTAGATCACGAGCTTAATCACCATGCCGCGTGAAACCAGCAACCCGCTCGGCAGGGATCCCTCTTCTCGCACCGGGCCCATACACCGTGGGGGTAGCTAACGGTGATCTTTATAAGACATCTGGTTCTTACTTCAGGACCATTTTAACTTAAAATCGCCCACTCGTTCCTCTTAAATAAGACATCTCGATGGACTTATGACTAATCAGCCCATGCCTAACATAACTGAGGTTTCATACATTTGGTATCTTTTAATTTTTGGGGGGGGGCCTGCACCGACTCAGCTATGGCCTTAGAAAGGCCCTGTCACAGTCAGATAAATTGTAGCTGGACCTGTGTGTATTTTTGATTGGACTAGCACAACCAACAGGTGTTATTTAATTAATGGTTACAGGACATAGTACTCTATTATTCCCCCCGGGCTCAAAAAACCCTATCTCATAGAGGTTTAAACCCCCCTTCCCCCTTACAAAACTGATCGTCTGCTTTAATATTCACCACCCCCCTACAGTGCTTCGTCCCTAGATCTACGCGCACTTTTTTTAATAAATCAATACTAAATCTGACACAAGCCCCATAATGAAATTATACAAATAATTTTCTACTCCACAA